ACATTTTGGTAGAAACTTAGGATTTACAGAGATGACTACTGAGCAGTAAGCATAACTGGAACCAGGAAACAAAATCTTCCCTGCATTGTCCACAGACATGAGAACACTGGCTTCGATCGCTGACTGCCCAGCATGATCTTCACCCATTTCCAGTTCCTCTCAGAGGACACAAATAGCTCTTTCCTGGCTGGATACCAGCTCCTCCAAATACTGGTATCCCAGCTTTTCTCTGGCCCGGCACAACCTTGCATTCTGCCGGCTCCTCTCAGACTTTGCTTTCAAGTTGATTTTGACTGGCTTCGACCTTGTTTACCGGGCTTCTTTACTTCGCCCCTAGCCACCTTACAGTCATCCATCTCCTTGCAGACAAGCCGGTGCGCCCTGCGCCCTCCTGGCCCTCCCAGCCTCAGCTCCGGCCTGGCCCCCGCCCCAGGGCTTAAGGGGAAAGGACTGCGTCCTCCTTCCCGAAGCCCCGGTAGGGACCGGCTCAGGAATGGCAGAGCAGGCCCTGACCAAAGAGCTAGCTTTCTTACACAGCCTAGTCCCACTCACTACAGAGGCACCACCCACGTGGGCTAGGCTCTCCTACGTCCTCAAGGCCAGTCTCACCCAGGAAATGCCTCACTGAAGGCCCTGTCCCAGGTGACTCCAGTTTGTTCCAAGTTGACAATAAAAATGAATCGGGGCAACAAGAACAAAGCTGGGAGGCAAGGCAGCCTCAGAAGGGCCTGGAGCCACAAGTGCGCACGCCCTAAGACCCTCTCCGCACGGGGACTTAACCCAAGAGCCCTGCCGGAGCAGCACCGAGCCACGTCAACGCAAACCCAGGGCCCGGCTGAGGCTCTGCTGGCCAAGTGCTTTCCATATAAACTCGAGGGTCCCAGCTTATAAAGGGTGGGATGCGGCAGTGTGCCTGAAGGCACCGGCCAATCTCACTGAATAGGTGAACCCCAGGTTCAGTGGAGACTCTGTCAAAAAATAAGTTGGGGGGCTGGAGAGATGGCTCAGTGGTTAGAGCACTGGCTGCTCTTGCAGAGGACCTGGGTTCGGTTCCGAGCACCTACATGGCAGATAACAACTGTCTGTAACTCCGTTCTAGGGAATCAGGCACTCCTCTTCTGGCCTCCATGGGCATTGCATGATACAGTGCACTTATACACATGCAGGCAATACACTCATACACATAGAAGAATAATTTTTTTTTGTTTTTCTTTGAGACAGGGTCTCCCTGTAGCCCCAGCTGTCCTGGAACTCACTATGTAGACCAGTGTGGCCTGAATGCACAGAGATCGGCCTGCCTCTGCCTCCCAAGTGCTGACTATAGGCATGCTCCACCACACCCCGCTAGAATAAATTTAAAAAAACTTTTTTTTTTAAAAGCCAGTAGTGGTGGTTCACGCCTTTAATCCCAGTGCTCAGGAGGCAGAGTCAGCGAGATCTCTGTGAGATCAAGGCCATCCTGGTCTACGTAGTGAGTTCCAGGCTATACACAGTTGTAATGGAGCACCAGCAGTTGTGGCTCATTCCTATAATCCTAGCACTCAGGTGGTTGAGGCTGGAGAATCCAGGCTTTGAGGCCAATTGGAGTTACATGGGGAGACCCTGCCTAAAATACACCAAAGACAGCCAGGCGGGGTGGCGCACACCTTTAGTCCCAGCACTCAAGAGGCAGAGGCAGGAGGCTCTCTGAGTTCTAGGCCAGCCTGGTCTAGATAATGAGTCCCAGGCCAGCTGAGGCTACAGTGAGACCCTGTCTCAAAAAGCCAAAAAAAAAAAAAAAAAAACCCTCCTCCCCCCTCAAACAAAAACTATATTGATCTTCTAGCTCACCCCACATAGAATGGAAATTATCCAGGAAACAAAGGGGGAAAACCCAAGGGTGGAGAAGTTGTGAAGGAAAAGGAACTTTTTTTAAAAAAATTTTGAGACAGGGTCTCACTATGCAGCCCTGGCTGACCTGGAACTCGCTATGTAGACCAGGCTGGCCTCAAACGCAGAGATCCTCCTGCCTCTGCCTTGGGAGTGCTGGGGTTAAAATGCTGGGATTAAAGGCCACCATGCCTCGCTCAGAAAAAGGAACATTTAAAAAATATTTTATTTATTATTTTTATGTGTATGAGTGTATTGCCTGCATGTAGGTAAGTGCACCCGTGTCATGCAATGCCCGAGGAGGACAGAAGAGGCCATCGGATTCCCTGGAACCGGAGTTACAGACAGTTGTTAGCTGCTATGTGGGTGCTGGGATTTGAACCCTGGTCTTCTGCAAGAATAACTAGTGTTCTTAGCTGCTGAGCCATCTCTCCAGCCCCAGAAAAAGGAAATTTTATCCAATGTTGCAGGGAATGTAAAGTAGGGAGGCTTCTGTGCAAAACAGTATGGAGCTTCCTCAAAAAATCAAAACCAGAACTAGCATGCTGTGTAGCTACAGGAATCCCAGCCTATCTGAAGGAAATGAAGTCATCATGCAAAGAGAGGCCCAGCAGACCCATGCTTACTGCATCAGTCATGACTGTCAAGCTGGGGAATCAGCCTTGGTGGCTGGCAACAGGTCAAGGGACAAAGAAAATGCGATAGGCCAGGTGTGGTGGTGCACACCTCCAATCCCAGGGGATTGACTTGAAAGAAGACAGTGTAGGTAGGTGTTGGGAGGTGGTCTTGGGGAGGGAGGTGCAAGAGAGGAAGGTAAGCAAGGGGAGGAGGAGGAGTCTGGGTGGATCGGACCAGGGGTAACATCTGCACAATTAATTTGCATCAATAAAAACTAAGTTAGGGGCTGGAGAGATGGCTCAGCAGTTAAGAGCACCAGCTGCACTTGCAGAGGACCTGGGTTTAGTTCCTAGCACCTACATGGCAGCTCACATTGGCCTGTAACTCCATTTTCACTGGATCCAATGACCTCTTCTGGCCTTTTCAGTCTTTGCACTTGAGTATGAATTCACAGAGACGCACATGCATTCACAGCTAAAAAAATTAAAGTCAAGCTGTGTGTGGTGGTCCACATCTTTAATTCCAGCACTTGGGAAACAGAGGCAGGCATATCTCTGTGAGTTCCAGGCCAGTTAGGACTACAGAGAGACCCTGTCTCAAAAAGACCAAAAAAAAAAAAAAAAAAAAAAAAAAGTCAAAAGAGAAATCCTACTTCATCCCTCCCTGTCCCTTTCTTTTTTCCCACTGCTGTGGAACGAACCCAGGCTAGGCAAGTGGTCTATCCTGTCCTGAGCTACATCCCTGGCTAGTCCATCTTTTGTGTACAGGCCTGCCATGTAGACAGCTAATGTTCACTGTTGACCTGTGGGATTTGGAATCCAACAAGTATCGCTACTTAGGGCATGGTGCGTCTGTGAGGGCATTTCCAGAGAAGAACCACTGGGGTGGGGGGATGTTGTGACACTATTTCTGGGGAGATGTGAGGGTACCACCAAACTCCACCTTGGTGAGTCAGTGAATTTCACTGGGGTTGTTCACAGGAGTATGGGTGAGGGGCTACTTACAGGAGCAGAAATGACTCACAGACAACGGCATCACCAATGCCCACCCTAACATGGCGGTGGCTCAGGAAAGCAGGGAACTGGAGCGTACCGTACAACATGCAGGCAGCTCACCAGGTTGGAGAGTGTCCTGTCAGGTAGCCTCTTCCAGGTACCTGTCTGGTTCCTGATCCATAACCCTATCTGCTTACATGACCCCAGGGAGGAGGGACCTTGTGCACCTGGTCAGTTTCAGGGGCTCCTTAAGACTCCCAAGCCACTCACTTTCTGAGTCTTAGCAGTCTTCCTTTAGAAGTTCTTGAGCCTTAAGGAGATTTGGAGGAAATCAGGAAAACTGGCCCTGGGTGCTCGCAGCACCATCCAGGGCCCAGGATGGAATGAAGTGAGGAAGAGGAAGCTTGTGAGGACCAGCACCCACCTTCGTTTCTTAGCTCCCCTTGAAGTGAGCTGAGCTGTTCCACCCTGCTTACTCCACTACGGTGGTCAAAGCCTCTGACATCACCAGCTCAAAGACCCTCCTTTAAGTTGTCTGTCAGTTATTTCAGCAGTGATGAAAAGCTGTCTAGTTCACCACGCAGTCTACTGAGCCTGCTCCTGGCATTATTATGCAGCCACCATGAAGGGCTGGGGGGTGGCTCAGTGGTAGAGCCCCTACATAGAGTCCCCTAGTGAGGGGCTGGGGTGTAGCTCAGTGGTGGAGCCCCTGCCTAGAGTCCCCCAGTGAGGGACTGGGGTGTGGCTCAGTGGTGGAGCCCCTGCCTAGAGTCCCCCAGTGAGGGACTGGGATGTGGCTCAGGGGTGGAGCCCCTGCCTAGAGTCCCCCAGTGAGGGGCTGGGGTGTGGCTCAGTAAGAGTGTCTGGTGTGGTGGTGCATGCCTTTAGTGCCAGCACTCAGGAGTCAAAGGCAGGCGGATCTCTGAGAGTTCAAGGGTGACCTGATCTGGGTCAGCAAATTCTGGGCCAGCCAGTGAGCCAGATCTACTTAGTGAGACCCTGTCTCAAAACATGAAAAAATGAAACAAAACCAAAAATGGTAAAAAGAGTTGGGAGCTAGTGGTAAAGCCCCTGCCTAGGATCCCCAGTGAGGGGCTGGGGCATGGCTCAAGGGTAGAGCCCCTGCCTAGGATCCCCAGTGAGGGGCCGGGGCATGGCTCAGGGGTAGAGCCCCTGCCTAGGATCCCCAGTGAGGGGCTGCTGAAAGGATGAACTGAATAAATCTGTTTTTAAATATATATATTTATTATTTTTATTTGTATGCGTGCATTGCTTACATGTAGGTAAGTGCACCTGTATCGTGCAATGCCTGAGGAGGACAGAGAGGCTGTCCGATCCCCTGGAACTGGAGTTATGGACAGTTGTTAGCTGCCATGTGGGTGCTGGGATTTGAACCTGGGTCTTTTGCAAGAACAACCAGTATTTGTAACCACTGAGCCATCTCTCCAGCCCCCAAACCTATTTTTTAAAAATAAAGTATCCTGCCTCAATCACTTTATCATAGTAAATAGAAAACTATTACGAAGTTCGCATTTCTTTAATCAAAGGATAAACCATGGGACTGAGGAAGGTGTGTGGCACAGAAAAGCATCCGGTAACTAATGGAAGAATGGGTGGGAAGATGGACAGGCAGGAGGCTGCTGGAGGGTGGGGCAGTTAGATGTTAATGAAAGCATGTGATGATTAAAGACTGGTGGGATGTAGCGAGTACTAGATGGGTGGATGAAGGACTGGAATCTGGCTGGATGGATGACTGATCTCATGGAGGAATAAACAGACTGCCAGATTCTGTTTTTGTTGACAGCATCTTGCCGAGTTGAGGTCTCGGAGCCTTGGCTTCCTGAGCTCCTGGCAGCACAGATGTGACCATCCCACCAGCCAGCTTGAAACTGAGAAATTGTGTGGCCGGATGCAAGGGTGAGGGTGGACAGGTGGAGAAAGAGGAGCTAGACCTTCCCGGGACTGGGGACATGAGTCTCCAGGTGCCGATTTAGAAGTTTATTTCTAAGCACGGAGCACCATAGCTGCACGGCCTGGAGTCCAGCCACCTCTGTGCAAAGCGCAGGGACCGGCAGAAGCTTCACATTACTGGAGGGGGACTCGGTTCTTCACACAGAGGGGCTGATTCACTGGCCTAGGGATGCTTCTAGAAGCTCATCTGTGATCAAACAGCAGGCCTGGAGTCACTGCTTCCCCTCTGCCTCCAGCTGCAAGTCAGAAATTCTGCAGAACAGACATAACTGTGCTGTCATTACCCGGGGACAGGCTCCCAGCCCTCTGTCCTGCCAGGCTGCTGGGATGTCCCCAGGTCACACCACGAGCAAGAGGAACAAGCAGTCTCGAGGGCCTGCAGCTCCAAAGCACAACACCCTGCTGATGGCAGCCCATGCTGTGCAAGGAGTGGCTGGAGGGCAGGCAGGTGGTGAGGTGCTGCCCCCACAGTCCTGGAGAGGTCTCAAGGAGAGGGGGGCAGCTGTCGAAGTGAGGGTAGGCTGGGCGTGCGGCTCAGTTGGCACACTTGCCTAGTGTGTAGGAAGCCCTGGGTCCAGTCCCCAGTGCTGTGAAAAAAGGCGGTGGCACAGGGCTATAATCCCAGCACTCAGGAGGTGCAGGGAGATCAAGGTCAACCTTAGCTAAGTACTGTTTGAGCCTAGCCTGAGCTACAAGAAACTCTGTCTCCAACCAACAGGAAAAGAGGGACAGCAGAAAGTTGTTAGCTGCCATGTGGGTGCTGAGAACTGAACCCAGGTCCTCTGCAAAAGCAGCCAGTGCTCTGAACTGCTAAGCCAGCTTTCCAGCCCCCATTTTATTATTGTGTGTGTGTGTGCATACGTGTGATGTAGTGCAGGCATGTAAAAGTTGAAGCATGAATGTGGTGGTCAGAGGACAAGTCTGTGGTTAGTTCTCTCCTTTATGAGTATTTTAGAAATTCAACTCAGGTCACTGGGTTTGCCCAGTAGGCGGCAAAGTACCTCTACCTACTGAGCCATCTTGCCAGTCATCAAGCTTTCAATAGGATGCAATTCCATTTCTAATTCTTGCTTTCATTCCTGTCAGAAACCATGGCCTGTGCTGCATCTTGAGGTGTGTTTCTACAGAGCTGTCAGTTGCAGGTCTTATGTTAAGGCCTCCAATCCATTTGGAGTTGATTCCTATGTAGGGTGAGAGCCATGAATCTGGGTTCATCCTCAGGTGCACACCCAGCCCTCCCAGCATCCTTTGCTGCAGAGGCCGCCCTTTCACCAGCATGTGTTTCTGGCACCTTTGCCAAGAATGGATGGGCCAAGGATGCATGAATTCACATCCTCTTTCAGTCCCTCTGGTTGGTGAATGACTTTGTGCCGGCACTGCGCTGGCTCTGTCACTGTGGCTCCGCAGAGTGTTTTGAAGTTGACTGTGGTGACTCCTTCAATGCTCAAGGCTCCTTGACTATTCAAAGTCTTTTGAGCTTCCACATGAATTTCAGGGTCTTTTTCTAGTTCTGGGGTATTGATGGGGAATGTACTGAATCTGCAGGTTGAGTTGGACAGTATTCTTTGTTTTTGGTTTTTTGAGACAGGATCTCCCTGTAACCCTGCCTGGCCTAGAACTCACTATGTAGACCAGGCTGGCCTCCATCTCAGAGAGCCACTTGCCTCTGCCTCCCGAGTGCTGGGATTAAAGTTTGCTATGCTGTACCACACCTAGCTCAGCACGGACGTTTTAACAGTGGTTCCCATATGCTTTGTGCCATGCCTGGGTAACTCACAAAACCCAATGCAGAGCAGCTGCTGTGTATGTGGTTTGCAAACAACATCCTTTAGGGGATAATGGGAGAAGCCTTTTTTACACATAGGTTATCACTTTGAACTTGCTATGTAGCCAAGGCTAGCCTCAAACTTACAGTATTTTTGAGCCTCTAAGCTCCCAAATTCTGGCCTTATAGATGTGTCATCATACCTTTTTTTTTTTTTTTTTTTTTTTTTTTTTTTTTTTTTTCTCCCCTTCTCTGCAGGTTTACTCACACTCTGTTTTTGTGTTGTCTTATTATCATTTTTTTTATTTATGTGCTTTGTGTCTT